AGCATGACTTCTCACGACGGCTGCTCTTCCGATGTAACGAGTTACATTTGCCAGCGAATCTTATCTGCCCTTTCCCCCCGAGTGTTTTTCCCTTTTCCGTCACTTAGAGCCGCAAAAATGATTTCTCGCATCCCGGCTGAGATTTATTTCGACGTTCCATCCCTTGGCAATGCATCTTATGCGAACTCCCTCCAGCAGCCGCAATCACCGCAATTGCCAAAATTGATATCGGCCCTTTGAAGTACAACCAGAAGCTCCTCAAACCCTCAAAATGTAAAACAAAATTCAAAGCCCATTTTCACGTATTTTAAAATCCATCAAAACAATTGCTTCGCAATAATTTATATTATTTTTTACACTTTGCACCCCCTTCCTTAGCGCGAAACAGTACTCACAAAGCCCCCTCATTTCTAATGTACTTATAGGAGGAAACGGAAACGTTAATACATTTATACGAAATTAATTAACTTAGTAATAATTTCGTATTTGGTGGTATTGTTTGTTCTGCGAGCTTTTCTATTTTTTTTTTAATTTTATTTTGGGCACTTTTTAGAGGACATTATCGGTTCCATTTTACGACGGCTTCCTTTATTTCGACAGGGCATGTCTTCGCCCTTTTACGACCCCCGAGTGTCTCGAATCGGTGAGTAATTCAGTTCAAAGTACACATAAATCATACGCGCATGCCTAAATACGTGCAGAAGCGTGTGTGTATTCACTAACGGGTATAAACAATGAGATTTAGCGTTTAGGCGCCGACATTGCTGGTCAGACCGGCGCCTCACGCTATACAGTACTATACAGTACTGTACTGAGCCATACTTCATTTGTTACGGCTTGAACCTACCCCCTTTTTGCGTTGCAACTTCGCGTGCATCAATTCAAGATGGCGACCGATCGCCGCGCCGCCCTAGATCACGGAATATAGGATAAACCACTCCGCATTGATCCATTGCGGTTCCCGAAACGAGCGAATTGTTTATTTAAATTTAATTGACATTTTATATTTTAATTACTTTCCGACTTTACAGGTATTTAAACTCATGGAGACCGAATTGTCAAATTATTCCCGATAGTAGTAAGTTAGATGTCCGAGGGAAGACTATATATTTTTTTTTTTATTTTTTGCCACAGTTTCTTTAAAACTCCAATCAGAGAAATCATTTATTTAAGAGAGAGAGAGAGAAGAAAAAAGTGTTTTCCTCGGTACACAAATTTCGAGATCTCGAGAAAGAGGGTGAAAGAGGGAGGAAGGGAGAACTCCTGGGGGACGTTGAAGCGAGCCCTTGGGGGAGGTGTAGGGATGGCATCAGCCCTCTTCAGGTTTCCTTCGTTCCTCCCCCGGTCGATCCGGGCTTCCGGCTGGTTTCTCAATAGCAGGCAAATGGATTCCGAGTCGAACGGAGCCGACCGATCGCACTTACGCAGGCGTATGGTAATTCTAGGCGCCCCTTAGCCTGGGAGAATTAAATATCTGCCAATGGCACAATTATGCCGGAAGAGGGCCCCGTTTTCTCCCCTTCGCTGTCCTCTTCCGCCGCCATTTTGCCACCTCTACCTCGCTCTTCCGGGTTTCTTCATCCCGCCGAGAGACGTGCCGGCAAAGATGTCGCATTTGCATTTAAATGAGATCCACGTTTGTCCCGGGTGTTGCAGTCCACTTTTGTTTATCGTTCGCGCGTCTTATTGCGAATCCTCCCCTCCGAAAAGCCATGGCCACTTTCCACCCTGAAAGGGTTCCCTCCTCGGTTACTTATTGGCCGGAACCTGAGGAGAAATTTGATTAGGGCATCCGGCACTCAGACTTCGGTGGGAACTCCCTTGCCGAAGGCTGGACTGGATTTGCCAAACCTGTTGAGGTGTTTCCTGGGGCCGTACGCTTTCGCAATGTCCTTTTCGTTTAGGACCCTGTCGGTGATTTCTGTAATTGCTAATTGGGATTTTTAGTCCTGGTACGTTTCGGCAAGCGGCGGAAAAATCACTTCTTCATCAGGACCCTTTAACAAAGCCTGACTTCTGATGCATGGATCCGCGTCAATCTTGTTGGGGCCTTACACTTTTGCAATGTCCTTCTCGCTTAGAGCCGAGTCAGTGACTTCTGTAATTGCTAATTGGGGTTTTTAGTCCTGGTACGTTTCGGCAAGCGGCGGAAAAATCACTTGTTCATCAGGACCCCTTAACAAAGCCTGACAGGATTGATTGGAACTTCTAGGTCCTAAACGACGAGTCGCGTTCCTTTGGACTCGACCACATCACCTCCTTGTCGCGTAGACAGCTGATTGTTTCCTGAAGGGATAAAGGATGACATTTTAGGACGATCCTTTATCTCATTAACGAATGAAATCAGAGCAGTTTCACGCCCATTGGCCATGATTCCCGTAATCGGTTACAATAAAGACCCGAGGAGTGAACTCGATCTCGTCTCCTCCTTCGACCTGAAGGTGGAACGTCATTACATCGCGACGCCTCGACGTCTCTTCACCTGACGGCAAAGTTACCGCAGGTTCTCGTTAACGGGCAGAAGGTCCTGGTCACTAATCAGATCCTACTCTTCAACAGTTCCCCAGGTCGCGCTCCTGAGAGCTTAATTGATGTGCCAAAGTCAATTGTGTTTACGCGCTCGTTACCTCGAGTGGCGCCAGAGCGCATAGAGACGACATTATTGCGCTCCCTTGTAGAAGAGACACGTTCCGCAGTCTGCCAGAGAAGCGGGAAGGAACGTAAACCACGAACCATGGCGATGGTAGACCGACAATGTCGATCATCGTGGTTGCCGTGCGGTCATGGTTAGGTTTAGGGCTTGTCTCGTTAGAGCAGCGCTTCCACCTGGTCGTCATTCATTCTGCAAAGACTGTTACCGATTTTCTCGTTCCCTCCGCATATGAAGATAATTCTATAAAGAAGAAATCGTCATACATCCATTTTTCTAACGGTTCGAACATTACCTGTGTAGCGTCCGTAAGAAGAGTTTTGTTACTACTGTAGTAATTGATATTGTCAGTGAAGCTGATAGCATGGACGTTACTATTTCCGACCCGATCGCTGTTATCACTTTGATGAAAGAAGTCGCTGGGAAGTCATTATCTTGGTCAGATAGTTCATACCATGAAGATCGTGGCGCCACTGTCGACTTTGTTGGTCCTTGCAGATGAAAGTTGTACATCTCTTGGAAGGATTCGTCGCGTATCTTTCTTATCGATACCTTATGCTGTTATCACTTTGATGAAAGAAGTCACTGGGAAGTCATTATCTTGGTCAGATAGTTCATACCATGAAGATCGTGGCGCCACTGTCGACTTTGTTGGTCCTTACAGATGAAAGTTGTACTTCTCTTGGAAGGATTCGTCGCGTAGCTTTTTTATCGATGTCTTATTTGGCAGCCTCTTTCTATTCTCGGTTGTCAAAGCACTTGTCATAATCGATGTCGGCGACGTCGACGTCGCGACGCCATTACCCTCGACGCCGCCACCTGTAGAGCGTGGTGAACTCATATGCTTATGATACGCATGGCTTGTGCGGAAAAGGGACCGCGTCGAGAGCGCATTTACTGAATCTCCTCGGCTGTGCGGAAACCGGAAGCGAATTAAAGCCCACTTCCGAGCAGTAATGCGACTTCACCTGCTTAAGAGTGAACAGAGCTTTCGTTTCCAGCTGGAAAAGTTGCAAGGCTGGGGCGAAATTGAAGCTCCGAACAAAGATGCCGGATTTCCCAGGAAAATCTTGCCACAGGTCAACCGAATGAAGCTCTGCTTCAGTTCAAGTGGATGACGTATTTCCGTTCAGAGTTAACCTAAAAAAAAAATTCCCCATTATGTGGCACACTAGCTACACATATTTATACTAATCTATTCAGCAGGAAATGGTATAAGGAGCGAAATACGTTGTATAATGTCGTTAAACGACTAGTTACCCTGTTTAGGGTGGGAATTTAGAGGTTAGGATTCTTACCTCTAGAAGCGGCAGCAACGACCTCTCGCGTCAATTTTTCACCCTTTGGGATAACATCGAGTAAAGGAGATCCGCTAGCATGCAGATTTCCTATTCGCAAGTGAAATCGCAAATCGGGGATTACTTACGGAGAAACGTGAGTCAGCGGCCGATGGGACTTTCGGTTTGAGCTTTAGGAATATAAATGGCGGCCTCGCTCTTTCGCAGGAAAGGGCGAAGGAGAGTTCCCTCTTCCGGGGAGGGAACTCTTCGAAAAGCTCAGATCGAGATTTCTCACCTTTTTCGATTACCGAGACCTTTCGAGAGTCCTGATCTCCCGACTATCATCTCGGCCAATCTAACAACAGGGGATTCGAGTCGCTACACAAGAACCTGTTGATCGTGAGATAGAAACGCGAAGAGAGTCTTCGGAATCGAGGGAGTGCATTGATTCCATAAACACTTAATGCAAATCTTCCGTTGAAACGCTCAGACATCCAGACGTTCGACAGAGCTGGGTTAAAATGGTTCCCGAAATCTGTATAAAATAGAAAATGCAAAATATATTCATAAAATGAATTTAAATTCTAAAAAAAAAACTGGGAAATAAATCCAGCGGAAAAAATGCCAGGAATTTTGAGGCCTTCCTGATGGGGTGAATACTCCGGAGTATTTATTGTTAATAATAGCTACCTGGTAGAATCTTCGAAAAGAATCAAATTGAACGATGAATTGTCAGCAAATGTGAGAAAACTTGTAACGACCGAGTTCGAGCAGTTGGCGCTTGTGGAGCGCGCTGTAAGATGGCGCCACGTACTCGCAATAAGAATGATCCTCATTCCGTCGGGGAGTGCGCCAGACGAAGGTAAGAAATCTTGCATCCAGTATTCCTTACTCATTGTTTTTTCAGAGATTCCGGGGAGAAGGGTGATCACTGGATCTACTGGCAGCTGGAAATCAAGGGATAAATGCGTAGGAATAAATTATGTAAGACGTTTTCCTTATCTAATAGATATTTTTTAACCTCAACGAGGATACACCTAGGTCTGACCGATTAGGAAATAGGAATTCCCTTAACCATAGATACGCATTTATTTCCCATAGTTTCCCGATTCTTCGAGGGATCGTTTTACAGTCATTGGACGAGATCCAGCCTACATTTTCCCTGTTGCTTACCGTTTAATGGTGCCTCTAATAGCCCTGGACGGAGATTGGCTTTGGGTTTTATGGTGCAAGGAGCGTGTTCGTAGAGCCGCCGGAATACTGCACGCCATGTTCCAATATTTACCGTCGACACCGGCCGTTACGAAATTACCTTCCAAAAAGGGATCTTCTATTGTGACGTCACATTTTGTCAACGATCAAGGCCATGAAATGAACTTGGCAATTGACAAATGCATACAGGACACTCTAGGGAGCTACCCAGCGAACACCAGACCTAACATTTACGTAACTTAAAACTAACAAATAGCATAACGTTTGTTACAACGTAATAACCTAACAGTTACTAACACATCGAGTATTAATATTTCTTGGAATCTAGTCTGTATTTATTTTTTCATGGAATGTTCATTTTCCCAAAGGATTTCCTAACCATGGGTAATGTATGGGGCATTCGTCAACGCAAGAATTCATCCATCTCTCCTCGCCGGACGACATTTTCAAGCCACAGTTTAAAGGGTGACAATCCCTTATCGGGACTCTAATCTCACATTCCCCAAATGGTTTCTTGTAGCCATGGGGTTTTGGATTTTTCACCCACTCGATGGCTTTGTTAACAGTTACTAAATAAACGTCGGACAATTCTTGTAGCTGCTTCAGGAATCTGCAAGAAGTAAGTCATTTGTCACTTCCGGACATCTACCAATGTTCTTACTTTTCTATAAACAGGAAGAAGAAAGAAAAAAAAAAAAGAAAGAGCGTTTATATGAATTAATTTCCATGGATTTTCCCACAACAATGTTCATATATCCACAATGGACTTACAATTTGTAACCTTCAAGATATTCCGGGTTTCTGAAAAACCACGCAGCATGCATGAAGACCGGAAACGGAGCCCTCGAACCCCGATAGTGACGATTAAATTGTTGCAACATCCAACCAGCTGTTAAATTCGTCTTGTCGGGTCTGAAACACGATATCGACGAGTCGAATTAACAAACCCAAGTGCGGAATAATTTATAAATATATTCACGTAATCTTTGCTAAATATCTCAAGCGACATGTATTGTTTACAACCGATGTGTAAATGTTTATTGGCAAAAAGCAAAAAACACGTATTTCTTCATTGTGAGTGAGCAATCACATAGAGTAAGTGGAACTTAAGTAGGAGTGCTTGTTTAATGGATATTACAAAAAAATGTCGCCTGAGGGGTAGTCATGTGGCGTATATGAAAAAGTATATACATATTCTCTTTCATATACTCTTAAGTGGTGATTTTAAGATGGCGATCTTCTTATAGTACTTCCTGGTTAGTTGGGTACGGACATATTGGTACAGGCGTCGACCATGCTGCAGGGAACTTCTTTTTCGTCCAGCCACATCGTCATGGGCACTTCCCAAATGTTTGGGAAGCTGGCAGTTGGACAAGGCTGGATGTTGCAGTCTTGGAGACTCTCGTACTCCAGTGTGTAGGGCCACAAAGCTGGGTCGATGTAACGTCTGGTGGGCAAAGAACTGTCGTAGGCCAAGCCAAGCTCCAGCAAACCTTGAAAACTGACGTTCCCAGAAGTCTGGAGGAATGGCAGACGACTGCCTCTGATGTCACTCCGAGGGATCGCCGCGAAATGGCTGGTTATTTCCCTCATGTCGCCGAATTCAGCCTTGAATGTTGTCAAGTTAACGTTCTTCCAGTAGTCGTGGTCGGCGGTGTGTCTGAAAATTCCAAGGGCTAGTCCTTTACCAATAGGTGTTAATAAGGAGGTTATCAGAGCCAGTTGGGATGTAACAATTAGTATGGAAATTCGTTTGGTAATTTGGCAAGCATTTTTACACCTGTGGGATGAGGTATACACTTTATCGGCAATGCTGTCCTTTGCTAAAAGTCTAAATGTATGATTTTCTTTCAATGTAAGACTCGGCTAGGATGTAGTAAGTTAACCTTATGGAAGTGCTTTTAGACCCTTACGAAACCGAATGCAGCGCTATCTCGTGGCCCCTTTTCCAAAGATCGTGGACTCTCGTGTAGTCGGTGTACTCGTGGGACAGGAAATGAGTTATGCCGATTGGACACCCGTCGGGATTTTTCAGGCCGAAAAAGATCTCCTTAAAGATGTCGTACGTCAGCCCGGTGACAGCATCGTCGAATGTTAGCATAACGATCTGTTGAGGCAAACAAAAGATTCATGTATGAGGCATGAGGCAAACAAGAAATTCATGTTCCACCGTCTCATATGAAGATTCACATAAAAAATATGATACAATTCAACGTAGAAAAAAAAAACCGACTCCAGCGGACATTTTCCCGTTCTTGGTAGAAGGCAGAGGAAACGCTGGGGGTTTTTCTTTCCCACTATAATTTTCTTGTACAGAGGAAGCGACTGTCGCGCCCCTGCACAATTCCGCCGTAAATATCGGCTAATGTCCCGATGTCAATCGGGATCGGTATCTGCAATCACTGACTATTAATCGAGGTTCCCTAGGGATACGATACGATAGGGAAATCGTTCGATCGGTCGGCTTAGGGGAAGAACCATCGCGGGGGCGAAACTATCTGCGCGTCGATCGGTGCGGCCGGTACGGTCGGTGGCCGCTATTACCGACGGTATTTACGAGTCTCGCGAAAAGAGCCCCCTAACCGGAGAAACGGGAAGTCTATTTTTCGACGATCCTGCCTTCTCGAGACTTATACGCGGCGTTTTCGCTATATACCGCTCTTTTTATAGCCCGTCCCCGGAAACATTGATTTCGACTTTGCCCGATTCGGCACCGCTCGTGACGGCTTCGAGTTCCCGCAGCTTCCGGCCAACGATTCTCCGAATATAATTCGAGTATAAATCTCCCTGGCCCCGTCTCCATTCGCCTTGTTCCACGGCCGGAGGACGGGAAAGAGAGAGTTTCGATTTATTTCCCCATATCGAAACGGGAACGGGAACCGATGTGCACCTTCCGAGGGGGTACTCACTCAGGAAATCCTGCATTTTAATGCTGGAAATCGAATGGAAGTCATTGAAACCCCCTAACCACCCTCAAATCAGTCGATTCGAATACCACACTTTTTTTCAAGGGTATCGGACCAAACTGGAAACTTTGGCACGTGGATCATCTAAGAATTGTCCTGACACATTAAAAACCTGGATTTAAAAAAAAAAGAAAATTATTTAGCTTAGCCCAGACCAGAACAAAATGGTCTCGAGCTCTCGTATTTCGATATACAATTATCCAAGGCTCTGATATGAGAAACGAAAGGGTCAGGGGAATTTTACGAGAATTTACAACACTCTGGTAATGGATAAACTCGCATTTTAATGGGATAAAGGGAAAATAAGTGTCTATGCTTAAACGAGGGGTCTCTTTAGGGCCTCAAAAATCAGATGGAGTTTTGTAACGATTCGGTGCACCCTGTTTGGCGGAAAGTTTTATATCAGTTACATATTTTACCTGGGGGATGTTTGCCTCCGTAATGTTGCTCCCACTGCTGGTCGTACTGCATTTGCACATCGGCAATTTGCATACTTCTGGTTGGCAGGGTTGCGCTAATTTCAAAGCGGATGTCAAGCCCACAAAAGGGAGCAGAATTGCCAGGATTATGTTCATCGTGTCCGAGGACTGAACTGCGGTTCCAGTCTTTGATCATCGACTAGGACTGGAAATGAGCCTTCGAGATCATCCTTCACTTTTTCATCGACTTTAACGATAGGCTATCAGATTGCCAGATTTTTTTTCCCCCGCGGCTTTTATCGACACTTGTCCACCTGACGTGGCAACGGAACACTTCATTCGCGTCAGCTGATAAGGGCAACGTTTCTGTGGCACCAAGGTTGCCCATTTTTTTTTTAAATAATTCTTTGCGATAAAGATTGCAAATAATGAGTCGTCGTTTCCATAGCCTTCGCGATATAAACGGTGGAAATACACTTTTCGCGAAGAAAAGTGTATTTTTGGTATTAACAGTGTAATCGATGAAAATACACTTATCTTCGAAAAAAGTGTATTTTTGGTATTAAAAGTGTAAATGACAAAAATACACTATTTAATCATTTACACACTTTTAATTCGAGAAATGCATTTATCGCGAAGAAAAGGGTATTTTCTTATCACAGGTAATGACCAATCAGTTTGATGGATATTTCTGGAGCCTATGGGTGTACAATTGCAATTCAGGTAACAATGGTTGGGAATATCTCCCAGGGTTTATCGCAAAACCTGAAAAGGTCGAGACTCGGATGAAAATCCGAGCTGAGTCTCCGGATCGGGTTATCACGGGTCGATAACCGCGATCGACTTAGCGGCTCCATCCTCGCGGACGACGTGGGGAAATTAATGGAGTAAGGTGAATCAAGAATTTCGTACACTTCGTTCCAAGTTAAATTGCCTCGTCATTCGGCGATAATGCGGCGAACTTCTCTAAGTCGATTCTCGTTCGGTCCTAGCGAAAGGTTTCGACAGATAACCCGGGAATATCGTTCGCCCTAACCTCGGCCGCGAGTGATAACGATACAATTCGTAATTAATCTCGATAACTAAAGTGCTCCAAATTGTGCGATTGTCCTGGCCCTTTCGCATTTCATATTAGAGCCTTTAATGATTTCCCCGAGACGAGTATCAGGCATGAAACACACATTTTTTTAAGTCGGGGTGTTGGAAAAGTGCGGGAGGTACATTCGCCTGGGTGGAGGGGCCAAGGGTAAAGTGCCCCATGCCACCTAGACCCGTTTAAAGTTGCCCTTAGGGGTGGTTAGCTTCCCTCTCGTGTATACGAGTACACACACACACAGAAACGTAGCCCTCGCCCATCCACCCACCCGCCACCCACCCACCACCCACTCACACACGTGCATATGCACGCGCGGGGGTGGTCGAACACCCTCCAGGGACCTCCCGACACACACTATCACCCTCGAAGGCGTCTCCACGCGCACCCACACGTCGAATGCGTTAATAAATTTGCAAAATACACCCCATATTTGCTAAATTATTCTATCTCCCTGGCACAGTCCGTAAGGTATGGGGAGTAGGCTCTCGATACGCCGGAGTTTCTTTACTACCATCCTCGGGATAGGGTGAGATGAGTTTGTGTGTGTGTACCCACGTCAGGTGCACATGTGTGCCTCCGACTGCAGTAAAACTTCCGGCCTTACATAATTTCCTTTTTCCTTATTTAATATTTCTGAAATTAAAAAAAAAAAAATAGAAAAAACATATTTATAGTGGAAGGACATTGACGAGGTGTCAAAAATCAATTGTAAGTCATCGCAGAGAGTGCACGGGTACGTTTCGCAATTTTTTTCCATGGGACTCCATGATGCCATTTTGCCGGCTATTTTTTCTTGCGTTATCAAAATGGCGCTCGGATCGATTCGATTGTTTCGATCGGCCGAATTAAATTTCGGTGGGAGACCCACATGGTGCCTTATGAGATCCCGTAGTTTGTTTCCCGAGAATCCATGGTGTTCAATACGCATTGTCAACTACCGTGCAGAGGCAGACAGTGCTTATCAGGTCGGAAAAACAGCAGAGCTTCCAGAAATCGATTTCTGGGTACTCGCACCTGCACACCCAGACTAATCATCGGTTCGAGCTACTTTTGCACACTCGTACTTCTCGGTTTCTCGCAATCCATATACTTCGATCCCCTAATGGCATGTATTTAAACCAATTTTCGCCGAACTTCCACCCCTGGTGGTCGTAACACCTGGTCGTTGCACCCCATGAAAGTGCTCCCCTCCGCCCTGTCATTCCAAGAGTTCATTGACACTGACAGACCAAATTGCCGCTCATCCAGGAGATGTCGAGGCTTTCAAAATGATTAGCCAGGCCGCGTGGCAATTTCGGACTAATTTTAAATTAAATCCCCCGCGATATAAGGTGGGATTAAAGAATCAGCCTATACAAAGAAACGCCCAAATGCGTATGAAACTTTTCTCCAAAATGAGTGCATGTTTGCAATGTGCTTCAATTTAATTTTATTTTATTTTCTCGATTGTAGCCAGTAGAGGTTCATCGCAGGGATTTCTCTTTCTCTTTTCTACACGTTTGCAGCATGCCTTAATTTCATTTTGTTTCATTTTCGCGATAGAAGCCAGTTCATCGGACGCAAGGATTTCTTTTTTATTTTAGTCATTTCGTTGTCAGTGTGGAATTGTACTCGATCTCCATGTTCATGTCTGAAGGGTTCGTCATTGAAATTCAGGATTTTTCGAACCGGAATGGGTTCTTTAAAAAAGGCTCTGGAGAACAAAAAGAAAAATGGCGGCAGCCGGGTTGATCGCTTCGGCCGGAAGCGGTGGGAAATGGCTGATTGAAAATCACGGGAGAATGCGGGGGCGGTAAGGTAAAGTTCCCAAAGGGAGACAGGCCCGACGTAAAGGAAAGATGCTTCAGGGCTAAATCGTCCCGAGACGAGACTCTGTAAACCGGAAGTTCGGCGTAATAGGTTCGATGCATGCAAGAGGTCGATAATCCTATCTACATCGAGCTGCGCAGAAGAGATAGAGATAGAGAGAGAGGGTCGACGAAAGTCGAGAGAGAAATTCCCACCACCCTCAAATCGGGTTTGCATGTTGAGGAAATTGCTGATGTACAAAGTACGCGTTAACGTTGTGAACATTGCTTGTTAACCAGTGACGTGATCAAAGGTGTGGCGATAGATTATCTATTTATATCTGGTGATATGAAAGAATCGCCCTAGAACTTAATAAATGTATTGTTAAAATTCCAGAGCGGGGTAGTTTCATGGTTTGTTAGAAAGAAATTGACGAGATAGGGAAAAAAAACAGCCGGTACGTGATCGTCCATAATCCAGGAATTCGAAGGCTGCGGGCTGTACGATTATCGGATCGTACACGATGTACGTTTCGAAGTACGACTTAAAAAAATTCCAGAACGAGGTATTTTCATGGTTCGTTAGAAAAAACTTGACGGAAAGAGGGAAAAAATACATCCTTCACACGGTACGTGATCGTAATCCAGGAATTCGAAGGCTGCGGGCTGTACGATTATCGGATCGTACTCCATGTACGAAAGTCCCCTCCTACGACTAATAAATGCTAGCCAAAGCCATTTGAATAGCAATTAAGGAGAGCACTCTGGAATTACGTCTTCGTATTCCTTTTTTGTCGTCGGAATACACCTGGCCAGCGGGTTAATTGTTGAACTAACATGTTAATAACCGTCGAACGAGCGTTCCCGGTTGGTGCGTCGGTTGACCCCGTGATTATTAGGAATTAGAATTTAACAACTGCAGGGCCCTTTTCCGTCCGTCGAACCGTCCATTTGCAGAGTCGTTCTGAATACTTAAGGCGCCCGGAAACGAAACGGGACGAGGCGGAAGCGTCGCGGCGCCGAGGCGTCTACCGACGTCGCGTGAGACGCCCTCGTGCCAGGTCGGGTAACACATGCAAAAACACCTGACCCTGTATTATACGATCATAACCTCTCGGTGGAGCACACCAGACCAGACGCGTGACGAGTAGACGTCCGAAATACTTTACTTCCCTATCGCGATACTCTACCTGAGCATTTCTCCTAATGGGTGCTTCTATTTCCCAGGGCCGCTCGAATGCAAATGCTTCCTAGAAGAAGAGGATGGCTTGGAGGAGTGGAGGCGCCACCGAGGAGTCTCTTCCACGGATAAGTGAAGGAAATTACTCGATCTGCCCCGAATTCGGAGGGAAATGTAATTTCCTGCCGGGGAGGATTAAGGCGATGCGAAAGTCCCCTCCGCTTCGTCACATTATTTATACAACTCTTCCCCGAGGTTCCGCGCTGTTAAAAATATACCATAATTTTTATAACACTTTTCTGGATCTTTTGCTCGGGCATGGTGTTCCAATTTTGTCACATACTAGCGTACCGAACATGATTTCGATTTGGGGTTTACCCTAGGCGAGCGGTAATGATTTCTCTCGATTTCTAGTCCCTCGGCGTCCTTAGTCTCCCCCTTGCTCTTTCGACGTCTCCTCAAATCTAGAGAATTGCTCGAAAAGGATTCCGTAAGTCCGAACTGGAGTGAAATTTGCAAGTAAATGTCTATACGCGATGCGAAATACGACTATTTCGGGGGAATTTAGGTGACGCCGGCAAGACGAGGTCTTACTTATCCGGGATTCGCCATCGGAGAATTTGACAAAACTTCGGGATGAAAATCGATTTCAGGGGGGTCGCGAAATTCCTCAAAATGGTCATCGGTAGTTCGAGTTTAACGAACGCCAACGCCATTATATTATATTTATGAGGTCGGCGATTGAATTTCTTTAGTATCTTCGTGAACAATTAATCCTCTTCTAGAACTGCCTTCGCGATCTTCGCAGCCTTCGAATTCCTGGATTACGGACGATCACGTCTCTTTCCGTCAATTTTTTTCTAACGAATCATGAAACCCCCCGTTCTGGATTTTTAACAATATATTTATTAAGTTCTAGGGCGATTCTTTTATTTCATAAAAAGATATAAATTGATCCCACCGAAAAGTCGAATAGACAGCGGGACTTATCAGTTAGGCGTTAGTTCCGGACAAACCGAATCACTAACTGTCAAACATAATTTGTCCCACTCGGTTACACGACCGGGCTGAGTAACCCCTTTGAAAATCGAATAGACTATTTGACATTCAGATCGGATAGTGGAATAATTTCGTTATTCGCACTCCCTAAGGCAA